AACCGAATCGCACCGAGGTGAACAGGAGTGGTCGGTGGCATGTGTCCTGGCTAGTGGGAGTGGTAAGGGGAATGGACTTGTCACATCCATTGCACACATCGCATGTACTGGTTTGATGGAATGCGATTTTATGGAGGAGGAAAGGTATAAAAACAGCGGTCCCCAGTGGACTTTAACTTGCAATTTTATGCAGGTGCAATTACCTATCCTCGTAAGTGTGCGAGTTTTCCGAGTAGGTCAATTATGTGAATTTATTTCTTTAACTATTAGAAATGAATTGTCCTTTGATTACAGTCGAATTCTTCCAATTTTCTCCTTTGATTGTGGGTAGGTTCCACGATAAAATGGACACCATTAAGGGTTACTGGATCTTCCAGCAAAGCAGGAGTCTCCCGACCCAAGGGGGCACGGGAAGCCAATGTGTTTGATTAGAACTAAGCAACCGGGCAATTTAAAGGCCTTTAAAGACAGAAAAGGAAACTGGTATCGCTTTACTTAACGCCTGTCCGAATAAGAGAAGTACTGCCTTATTTAGTAAAATTAATTTAGCCTGTAATTTCGTAAAGTACAGTATTCATCTGCACAATCTAAGAGCTAACAAATAAGCGAGTGTGTGAATAAGCGACTTAGGAATGTAATTTTTCAGGCAGATGTCTATAAGCTCCTTTAACCTTACTAACAAGAGCTGACCTAGCTTTCCTCAATTCGCAAGAGCCCACAGAAATGCGGAAAATTTTATAAATCCACCGAAATACTAGGAAGCTGCAGAAGTGTTTTTAAAACGGAAGTAATAAAGAGCCAGTGTAGTCAAATGCAAAACTGAGCAGTCGGTTGCACAAGAGTAAATAGCGGACTCTAAAAATATGGTTGTAGAAAAATTGGTCGACCAGTTTAAAATACCAAAGAAATGCATGGTTTAAGCCAGCTACAAGAGCTCAGGTATTAGCTGTGGCACTTCAAGTCATCTCTAAAGAAACTGAGTGGATTTATTTATCTTTTTGTGCTTACTTGCCTTGTAATTTTGATTTTTAATTAGAATTAAACTATTCTTGACAAAGTTATCTTTCACCCAAAATGAGGTATCATGCATTTGGTTCCCCTAAATTAATACTAGATCTCATAGCAGCAGTCCCAAGCGACGTTTTTTCTCAAGGCATTCAAAACTACGTTAGTTCAAATGTGTAGAACATTCTCCTAGCTAAATGAAATCTTGCTTAACAGTTAAATTAAGTCCTAACTAGGTAGAAAGAGTTTCTTTCCCTGTCTTCGTCTACAGCACGTGCCGCATTCAAGGGGCAAGGTCAAATGAGTAACTTAATAGGACCGAAAAATTCGGTTTGAAAGGACGAAATAAACCATTTATTCTAGGTGAAGAGTTAATCAGTTAACCAGGCCCGTGATTAGAGGTGAAGCGGTGAGCTGGACGAAACTGTTCATGCGCAGCAGGAGGATCAGAAGCAGCGGCAACCGTCGCACTTTTTTAGGAAAAGAGTGAGCTAACGAATTTGCTGGGTTACACATTCGATTGTGGCCTTGAATTAGCCAAACAACAGTAACCACACTCCATTCATCAATTATTTTTCGTG